AAATAGCTCCTAGCTACTCCCTTTCCTAAGCACCAGCAGATTTCAATATCCTTTAAGCAACAAACATCATCTCCCCTCTTCCCAGCTGTTACTGGTGTTAGCACAGTTGCTGTTGGGCTTCAAATAAGTCACAAATATTTTTTTTCTTAGCAAAATGACTTCATAAAGATTTATTCACAAAGTTACCAGATTTCACTCACAACAGGTACCAAACAAAAAGTACCCCTGCATTCAGGTGTGGCACTGGAGAAGAAACACATGAGACAAAATGACACCATGTCTCCATGGAAGAAGGATTTACTGCACAGCAGAAATGCCCAGGCACTGATGCACGAGTGGAAGCAGAGCTCTTACTGCCCTAAAGACATGTGCCTGTTGCATTCAGCCCCAGATCCTCTCCTTTGATAAAACCAAGTATCAGCTCTGGAAGAGCTGAAGAACAGAAGTGTTACGCCAAACAGAGAATATGACCTCCAGCAGAAGTTTTTAGACACTCCGTGGCACCCAGACACTTAGCTGGAGATCACTGCATAAATAACAGGGTACAGCGTCTAGTGATCCTGGCCAGTGCTCAGGAGGTGAGAGAAAGGCTGAACTGGGCTAACTGCTGGTCAGAGAGCCAAGTAAACAAGGCCCTTGCCCACAATGAAGAGGTCCCAAAGAGCAGCAGGCCAGATGTGAAGTGCTGTCCCAGCTGCTGGTCCAAGCTCTAGATTCTCTGTTAATCTTGGTCACGGCCCATTTTGCCTGTCAGCCTCCGCCGCTGAGTCTTAGTGGTTCGTCCAGTGTTGGATTTCCGGATTTTCTTGCGTGGGCCTTGCCCACGTTGGGGTCGCTTTCCTTTTGTCTTTTTCCGGCTATGCATGTGCAGCGTGGCAGTAAGAGAAGAGATCCTGTGCAGGGTAGGAAGAGAGAAATGTTTGGGGACTAAAGTCTGCAGGAACAAGGTGAAACTACAACAGGAGAGCCCTGTGTGGCTCCGCAGGAATGGACACCAACCACAACACGCCCCCGGGGAACTCCAA